ATTTTCTAAGAGGTCAGCATAGTCTTAATCGGCAAAGCGGTAGTCTTGCTAACAGATCGTGCCCTGAACATTTACCCAAGTGAATTGAATTATAAAACGATACTATACAGAATTATCGGTTTTCTTCTAGCCTGACTATTATGTTCAAAACAAATTCGTAGACTCGAATAAAATTCAGTCATTATTTCACAGACATAAATAAATACAACTGGCTATTTGGCTCCATTAAATATGTTTTGTACACATTTTCAAGCATTGAATCATTGACTACCCCTATTACATATTTTGAAATTTGGCGGCAATTTCCTGAAATCTCGGGTGGCTCCCTCTGCCTAAACTTTCACAACCAACGAGAGAGAAAGCATCATATAATTCTAATAGGACAATTTTTTACCTGTAGTTTTACCTGTCTAATCTTGTCTCTGACGTAGTCGAAAACATTCGTCACGTAGACTCGAGACATAAGGACATACAAAATTGTAAATTATAGCCTAAAACGACCTAAGTATTTTAGATCGTTTGCTAAGCTAAGGACCTGAAAAATGCATATTTACCAACCTGCCTCTATCTCTATCTCGATCCCTATGCCGATCCCGATCTCCTCTGTCCCGGTCACCTCTATCGCGGTCACCTCTATCTCGTTCTCCTCTGTCACGGTCTCCCCTGTCCCTTTCCCGATCTCTATCCCGATCCCTGTCCCTAGACCGATGCCTTCTGTCCCGATCTCGATCGCGATCACGATCCCTATCTCTATCGCGGTCCCGAGAACGATGCCTAGAAGAAACCATTCTCACTTACACTTGAATATATTTATTTTCTCGAGAAAACTCAAGCAGAAATTATCCTAACAAGAGCGGTTCTTAAAATGGCGACAACCACGCGGTAGGGAAATCAGATCACAATGGCAATGACGTTCATGACTCATGACAGGCAGGGCTGCTGCTATCGTTGCCAACGTGAAATATAAATCCCCAGATACCTAAATTTCCCTAAACTTTTTGTTAGAAGAAGTGATTGTGTGTCGTTTGTGTCCCTCCGAATTTTTAGTTTTCCCTTGTTTTATTTTAACGACCACATTAGATTAAGCAGATTCAGCAAAATATTATATTTTATATTTTTAGCTTCATTAAAATAATCACTTCAACCATGCTTATATAAACTTAAAATTAACCGAAAGGAGAAAACACAAAAATACGTGGCAACACCCATTGTATTGAATTCTCGAAGGAAACGGACTATCGACGCGCTGGATAACGTCAATCAAATGGCAAAGTTTGAAAAGATGCTCAATCTTTTGCGAAAAACATAATTATTATGCATCTTAGCGACAATTTTGCATGTGGAGTTACGAATTGTTGATAACTAAAACGCGATTTAGCAGCAAATTGCACCGGAGAATCTCATTTTCGTACATAAATAAGTCGTTTTGGAAAAGCAAATTTCCAGTTTGAAAATTTTTTTTGGTTTACTTTATGGACTATTCAGAATTTTTTTCGGCTGAAAGAGCTTCGTTTGAAGGGTGCTTTAAGGTAAAAGAAGAAAAAACTAAAAAGTGGGAGGGACTCAAACGACACGACAACCGAACATTTTAAATATAATCACCATTTAAAAAAATCCCTGTACGTATATAACAAATGAGTTTGCTGCTTTCCGAAGATGAGTAACTGACACCTGGCAACATTGAGGCTTAATTTACTGTTCATATAACCATGCCTAACAATAACATGTCAAAATACCAGCTGTTTAAGTGTTCAGATACCAAACCAATTTTCTAACGATAAGTCTGAAATGTGATAAAACGTTACTAACAATTTTAGAATGGATAAATCCTAATTAGAAGTAGTTTACCTATTATTTGAAAGCACGATGAATCGACAGAGCTTTTATTTCGGCAGTGATGTGGGTGTTTTTTTAATCAAAGGCATAGATGTTAAAAGCACTGGGGGTTTAGTGGCAATTTGCGTTTTTGTGGGTTGTTTTTCCTTTTTCTTTGAGTATTTGAGGTAAGTCATTATACTGGATTGTTCTAGTTGGGGTAATCATTAGGCATAGTCATAGAAAAATCACCAACTCGTTTTGCAATTTTCAATATGATTTCATTGTGGATTTTATCTCTGGTTGCGACAATTGTACGATTTCATAATCTCTGTTCTTAGTTTTGCACTATTTCGCTCATAGTTCCATGCTCCAGTTCCTTCAACGGACGATCAATAATAGTTTAACACTTAAAATAAAATCGGCAATTTATTCCAGTTTAATTGTGATAATAATTTTCGGTCATTAAAACTGCCAAAAGCAGCTTCATTTGGGGAACTCTTATGAATTATTTTGCAAGATTTTGAATAGAGGTCAAAGAGGAGTCAAGTAATGAATTTCTTGAAAAATATCGGAGCAGCTGAAGTTCAGTTGGGTTTTAAACTTTTCTACTAAGTAAATAAAATTTCTTAGGAGTCACATTTCGCTTTATTCTGCAGTATTCCTTCTTATACTTACATCAGTCTTTGGATCTCATTTCTCCTTTTCGTTGTTTCGTTGTTGTTGTATTAATAAGTACCTACCTACATATTTGTATTTGTAAAAAGTTTTTTGGGAGCAATCTTAACTTTTGATTTGAAACCCTAATTGATTACCTACTTGGCATTTTATTTTTTATTTCAATATTAGAAAATCAGTTTCGTTATTGCAAGATCTGATCCTAAAATACCATTATTTTTTCAGATATTTGCAAACTAAAAGCAAACAAAAGGAGCTGAAATTGCGGGCCAAGCAAATTAAGCAGTTATGTCCTACAGAAAGTGCTACTTTATTAGCTGGCACAATTACCAATCCTAGAAATCCTTTCAATATAACTCTATTCGACAGGCAAGTAAATTATTATTGATTAAGTTTGCTGACATATCCTAGTTATTTTACTTTTACTTTTCGTAATGCTTTTGAAAAAAGTCTAGATTCAGGTTCAAATTCGCAGCCTATTTAAGCAATAACAATAGTAAGGTCAGCGGCAGCATATTTTTGTACTGATGAATATTCAATGTTTACCACAAAAGCGTTAATAAAGCCATACCTACATAGAATCAATTTAAAAAATTTGATAACAATTTTTTTAACGGCGAAAGTCGCCAATCATTAGGGAACATAAAAATTAGGTCTAGACCTTTTATTTTCTTCATTTCAGAGCTTTGCTATTTGGCACAGAAGTCTCACTTTGGCTGTTCCTTCAAACCTTAGGCTATGTGATAATGTTATCTGTTATGCTGTATGATGCATGGATTCTTATTTCGGCCGTCATAGGCGGCGGAATTGGGTACTTTGTATTTGGCCAGAAGTTTATGAAGATTAATTTGGAGAATTGTCATATTATACGAGAAACATACTGCACGCAGATATGTGGGGAAACAGGTAAATTGAGCAGTGAATATTGTGCGTTGTTGCTTTTCAATGGAAAGATGACCAATTTTTTCGTTCGATGAAAAGTTGAAAAGAAAACGCTGAAAAAGAAACATATTGCCGAATATTTTACCGGACTGTAAACCATCAGTTATAAATAGTAATAGGTTTCATTCTTAATTCGAGTTTATACAGTTATCATATAAAGTAAGGCAAGAGCAACGAAAAAAATGGACTTTCTTATGAAAAAAGCCCAGGTTAAATCAGTACGCATTTGAATGTTTTCTAACAAAACCCCTCATTTTAGAAAAAGCCACCATTGGTAGTCCTGGTACCTCCCAAAAGTATGATGTCCTGTTCTGACCCACAAGTCCCAGTTTTCCCTATCATTTCCAGATTTTTCAATTACAAATACATGTAATATAAATCGTTGCAATAAACGTTACAAACAGTCATAATTTATTTAGAGCCGGGATATAAACATAAAATTGCTTCTCAGATGTCGGCGGATACAATGGAGAGCCGAGTCAATCCACACCGCCTTTGGAAAGTCCATCAGAATCACAAGAAGAACTTCAGAGAAAGTGCCATGGAGATGGTATGGTAAGTCGCGCTGTCGAAGTGAGCGTTCATAGGGAATGTCACTAAATGTACCTGTTTTTGAAACGTTTGTTTGAGGTGAGTACTTTAAACACTTATTCATAATCTACAACTGCAATAAATAAAAAATGGTGAAGATCTAAAAATTGCCATGTCTAGACAGCCTGGTGGGTTTTAATTTATTTGAACTGCACAAAGTGTATCACCCATATTCTATACTCATGTAGATATGTTAATATAAATCGTTCAATCTCCAAGGCACTTTATGTAGCCTTGATAGTTTTTGAAAAATTCAATATGCAATAACCCGACCATTCTAGTAAAAATGAATTCTTGTTTTCGATTAAAAAGTGTGAAAAATTCACTTCCTTTGAAAACATCCTATAAGCACATTATTGAACCGCATGGTCAACACTAGTAAATACCATTATTGTCGCATAATGTCTAAAACAGTTTTTATATGTTTTCAGACGTATCATGAACCAACACATTTTACTCACCTAAGGGTCAGAGACTTGCATAATATCAACACACCGACACATAAATGTTTTACTAGATACATTTATGAAAATAAATCAAGTCTCATTCAATAGCGTTAGCTAACACTCAATAAAGTGTCGTTTATTTGGGATTCACGCTAACGTTCTTGAATGTGCTTTGCTGATGACTTCGCAGCTCATCCAAGTGATTCGTTTTCCAAGCAATAATTTACTCATGTCAAACTACATAATTAATGCGAAGTGCCTTGGATGTGAATGTGCATTATTACTGTCAAATTGATATATTTCCTCGGTATTCACATTCAAAACAAGCAGAAATTGGTTGCGCGCATACATACATTTTTCTAGATAAATGTAAGGTGCCAACCCGAGGAAAAAGATGTAACTAATTAAGAAAATAGCTGCGAATAGTAGGACTATTTTTCCTATCTAGTGTTCAAAATGCTGTTTTTGTTAAGTTTGGTCGTTTATAAAGAGATTTATTTATATATAATGAAAGTATACTATTATATAAGACATACTCAATCACGCCGATATTTATGGCATATACATGTATATGCCACTTTCCAAATTGCCCATTATTTAATAAGCTTTCATTACAATACTTATTGAAATATGGGGGACGTAGTGTCTTTTACATTTACTTGAATTTTACCTAAGTCAACCTTGTGAACTAGCTATATTAAGTCGTTCGTCAACATATCGTAATTTGCCAAAGTAAACTATTATAGGTCTGGTTTTGGATTTACACAGGGTAATCTATGAACATTAAAATATTTTTAAAGTTGAAATAATTACCAGGCAAATATATAAAGATTTTGCTACTATATTGGTTACTGACCAGAGGTTAAGGTTTGCTGTTAACGGGAAGATTAAGTGTTAAAATTGAGGTAAGGTGTATTTTGTAAGCGTATTTATACAAATATATATAATGACAATCTGTCGAAATATATCTTTTATTGTGCTGTATTGTAATTAACAATGTAACAAAACAATCAAATAACGTTTATATAAAAAAGTATGGTTGCAGTTCTGATGAATTTTGCAAAGTGAGGATTCGGGACAACGTCTACGAATTTTTCTGCAGTACTGACGTAGTTACCGTTTTAATTTCAGTGTATTGCCTTAATCCATATTCTCCCAATTCTCGGCCGTAACCGGAATCTTTGTATCCTAAAAAAAAAAACTTACAATGTTGTTTTCGACTTATCTAATGATCATTCTTAAGTCCAAGATTTTCAATGTCATACCGCCGAAAGGTGCTTGTGGTGAGAAGACATTGTAGCAGTTCACCCAAACCGTGCCAGCTTTAATGCCTTGAATAAGATAATTCACTTTGTCAATATCTCTTGAGAAAACGGCTGCCGCTAGACCGTAATCTGAAGTGTTGGCTCGCACTATTAGTTCATCTAAGCCCTTGAATTTTATCAACTGTTGAACAGGCCCGAATATCTATAAAAAAATCAATGTCGCGTAGGTTAATTAAATAATTTGCCTAATTGGAAAATAGCTTACTTCTTCTCTGGCTACTACATGATGATCCTCTACATCAGCAAATACAGTGGGTTGGACGAAATATCCTTCATCCCCATGTCTTGCTCCACCATGTACCAATTTCGCGCCCTGTGCTTCACCCTCTTTGATTATCGCAAGAATTTTTTTAAATTGAGATTCATCAATCTGTAAAGTCCCAAGTTAAATATCAGTTTAATTTTCCGTTCGCTGTCAGCTAACCTGAGGGCCTTGTTCAGTGCTAGGATGGAACGGATCACCAACAACACGCTTCTTCGCTCTTTCAACAGACCGTTCAACAAACTCGTCATAAATGGATTCTTCTACGAATGTACGCGAGCCAGCACAGCACACTTGCCCTAAAAATGTTACTTTAGCGATTAAATTCAGTGGAAATTTAGTATTTACCTTGATTGAAAAACACTGCAGCATGGGCGGCTTCTACGGCGTTTTCGATGTCAACATCGGCGAGTATGATGTTGGGACTTTTTCCTCCCAATTCCAGGGTGAGGCGTTTAAGGTTGCCAACGCCAGAATTTTTCTGGATTATTTTTCCAACTTCTGTAGATCCGGTAAAAGCGATTTTGTCCACCTACAATCAAAGTTTAGGAACTTAATATATATTTGTTAGCTCTAGAAGAGCTCTTACATTTGTATTGGCTACTAGAGCTGCACCAGCATCTCCAAAGCCAGGCACCACATTTATCACACCAGGCGGAAAGCCAGCTTCTTTGGAAAGCTCCGCAAGGTAAAGACTTGTTAATGGAGTCTGCTCCGCAGGTTTCAATACTACGGTATTGCCTACGAAAATTTGTAATTAAACCTTAAGAAGCGCAAGAATTTAAACAATGTAATGTTCTCACCAGCAGCTAAGGCGGGTGCAATTTTCCACGCTGCCATCATAACTGGGAAATTCCATGGAGTGATTTGTCCACATACACCAACTGGTTCGTGTCTGGTGTATGAAATGTAGGGCCCATCAACTGGCAAAGTTTTTCCATGATTTTTGTCGGCCCACCCTGCCATGTACCGGAATGTTTTAATGGATAATTGGAGGTCCGCATTTAAGGCATGGACGAATGGTTTTCCATTATCAAGAGTTTCTAAGCTCTGTTTAGAAAAGGAAACAACCTGTTAGTTTAGCAAATATACACCAGCATAATAGTGGGGTTTTTACTTTAATGAAAGCAAACCGCGTTTTTTTGCAATGCAATCGAACTGAAAATCAATGAAAAGATTCCTTGCAAAAAATAACTAATTTTTATAAAAAATTAAGGAATCTCTTGCGGACTTCACTCTGTACCTATACTATCGTATTTTATTTCATCCATGTTATTCAGTGTCTGCGGGAATACGTGCTTAGTTTTTTGCGGACATATTAATCAATTTCTACGTAAAACTTTAAATCGCGAAGGTTTTTGTCAAATTTATGGCACGTGTTAACTTGTGATGTAACATTCGGTTGTCTATTATTAGATGCCTCGAGTTGTTCATCCTATGCGGAAAATGTGACTTCGTAAATTCAATCATAACATTTCAGCATTAATTGCCATGACTGTGCATTTTTCTAAACTATAAGATAAAGCTCACAATAAAATGGTTATTGAGAAAACAAGTTGTTATACTCAGTATTGATATCAAGACAAGTTTAATTTTAGAATTGATAAGCTTTTGATCGTGGTATTTTAATTTTTTTAAACAGTGTATACCTAGGTAGTTCCAGTTGATTCCAGTTGAAAATCCTACAGTATATTCTTGGCATTGTAAGGATTTTGGATGAAATGACATAATCGCTTGATCGTACTAAAGTTGTTTATTATTCAAGTCAACGACTGGAGTAGCTGAGACTCCAGCCAACCAGAAAAAATGTGAATAGTAAAAACCTATAAACAATGTAAATCCATTTCTCATGAAAACATTAAATAGGTAGTAAAAATACGTATTTTTTCATGTTAGAGGCAAATTCGTGAATGTTTTCATCGACAAATTTTTTAACATTTTCAATCAAAAACCTAAAATACGCGCTTGTTCTATGTTAACTTTTCTGTCCGATAAGCCCTAGATAGAAACTGAACACTTTTACACGTAAGTAACTTTTTCACCTTGTAAAATAAGCCTGCTTAGACATAATCATATTTATTGATTCTTATTTTTTTATATCTAAATATTTTAAATGTAAAAGGTATGTTTTATATGAATGAATATATACTTACAGCTAAATAGGAAGCATCTCGTTCTATTAAGTCAGCCAATTTGTACAATAATCTGCCTCTTTCAGAAGGATCCATTGTGCGCCATGGAGAGCCCAAACGGAAAGCCTCATTTGCGGCCGCAATTGCTTTATCTAAATGACAAAATTAATTCTGTTAAGTCTCGAAAATATGCTGCTTTTGAGGTTGAACACAAACACCTTTTTTTTAAATTTATGACCAAATAATCAAGCTCTATCCAAAAATAAAAACTTTTCATAAGGAAACAACACTAATTCTTACCCTATAAATCGGTTCTTCACTTATTTACATAAAATGTTAGCTTTTGCCACATATACTAATATAATTTTACCTTAAATCTTGGTAATAAAAAATAAAACTGAATTTTACATTTTATACAGCTTTATTCGGCTAAAGCCTGTGTTCCATGCATCGGTTTATACGATGGTACGATGATACAAAAGTGTTTCTATTGGTTGGAGATCTGTCAATTCGTCCGCCGTCGTACGAACTGACAGATCTCCAACCAATAGAAACACTTTCGTACCATCGTATAAACAGATGCATGGAACACGACATTTATTCCTACCTATGTCAGCTTTAACACCCTGTTGGACTTCTGTAATTACTTTTCCATTCGCTGGATTAATGGTGGGAAATGTAGCACCAGCCGATGATTTGTGCCATTCATTATTAATAAAGATCTGAAAATAGATAAAACGACAAGTTAGCCATTTAAATTTAGTTTGATGATAAGGTCCTTTTAGACGATCAGTTAAGTTTTTCGTTCAGTTCAGTTCAGTTCAACTGTTGGCAAACCAATCGAGCCACAGCTCCGTATCAGTTTCAGTTTTTCCGGCATTTTTTTGGGTTAAGACATACAGATAACTGACAACTGTACTGAAACTGAACTGACCGTCTAAAAGGGCCTTTTCAAACTCAATTTGAGCAGCATATTTTTCAACTAGTATTTAGATTCAAAGAATAATTTTTCCAAGTTCAACGTGAAAGGATAATGTTTTTAAGTCTCTAAGGACAGGGTGTTTTCCTATTATTGAGCAAAAAAACAAATATTGCCCTATAAACTTCCAATTTAATGGCAGTAACTAAGTAATAAGAAAGTAATTATCTAAAAAACAGAACAAACATTTCCAATGTCAAGAGATTATATTTGTCACTTTTCCGATAGTGATAACCTATAGCAATTGCGATAACCTATTATCAACATGTTATCAACTGCTAATAATACGAAATAATGTTTGTAAAAACCACAATCACGGAGTGATAAGTGATTGGTTGAATATTTTTAAAGTAGGTATAACTACAGGTAATCAGTCAGATTTTAAAACCGAAAATACTATAGACACTACCCAAAATCGGCGAATACCTATTTAACATTAACAAAAAACCGGCTAAGCTGATGCGATCCTTTAAACCTTGCCACAGTAAGAAAACATGATCGACAATTATTTTGTCATTAGTTAGAAAAATGTTTCATAACTTATCAAGGCCGGTGGCGTCTGAACATCAGTTCAAACCCGAATTATATAATCATGATTGGGCGTTTTTTTACTGTCTGACTAGATATGCTGAGAAAATCGCGATAAGATTTGAAGAAGACATTAAGCTCATTCTGCATCGCATTGTAGGTAGGGTTAAATATCTCCCTGGTATAGTTTTTCATTAATTAGAACTGAGATGAAAATAGGGTCAGAAGAAGATCAGATATAGAGCACATGAAATAAATTCACCTTAAAATCAGTTTTGATTTTATGCGTTCCTCAAATGAACGAAAAACTAAATTTTCAGTACCTACAAGGGTTTTCTTTTCCATCAGCTTTCTGGTTAGGGATCAGAGCTATATTTTTGATCTTGCTTCCAAAATGAAATACCTAGGTAAATTCAAACGTTGATAACTTTCGTGAATTTTTAGAAAAAATATTCACTTGGCCACTAGCGAATTTATTCCAGTTAAATTATTTTTTCTTTAAAAGCAAATTCACATGAAATACCTACGTTGTCAAATTTCTGCGTTGGTCAGTTTTTCGTATCCTCCATAAATGTAGTAAACAGGTTCAATTACACATATTTAATAAATAACAAACGTAAATAAATACAACTCACGGTTGATGGAGCCTATATAGAAGCGCCAGATAGCAAACGACACGATAAAACATGAAATGAACATTATGCACCTTATTAGGTATTTTTATTTTCTTTAATTGAATAAGAATGAAAAATTATCTCCAATATATGTAACTATAGATTTTACTTTGACGTTCTTCTATGTTGGTAATTTTCTCTGAATAAATCGTGATTTTTGTGTGCTACGAACTTAAAAATCGAGTGGATTTAAATCGGCAAAAATTGAACAAAACGTGACAAAACAAAACATAAAACATAGGTATAAGTAAGTTGTGGATACAACATGCAGCCACAACAATAGGTAGATACTACTGTACATAAGACGATTGCTGTGTTTTAACAAACTGCTGATAGTAAATATGCATTAAGCAAAGAAGACACACATGAAAAATGACAATAGTAAAAAATGTTAGTAGATAGTATCTACTAGATACACAGTAAGAATTTTGAATGCAAGTTTTGTGTGTTGCAAAAATGTCTGGTCGAAATAACAGCACAAGATAAGGAAGCGACAGTTTCTTCAATTGTGTCAATAACGCCAGTTGGACAAACGAAAACTTGGACTAGACAAGAAAATATGCCCTCAATTCTTTTTTCGTATTCTCATGTTTTTATTTGATTTATTTATTTTAATAAATTAGTTTTGACAGAAATAAAAAKATTTTTTAACAACGTTAACGATTCTAATTTTATCACCCATTTCCTTGCAATCTATTAATATAATCCACATGTTTAAAGCATTATTTCAACTTTCATGTACACGCTACTATTAATAGTTAAATGTTTGAATTGACATATGTTTAAAGCTGTTCGTTAGTTCGTAAAAAAGCGTGATATTTTGATAATTACCTACATAGGTATAGAGAATTTATTCGCTTACCCCAGAGTAGAGGACATTTGGTGAAATATCCGGCTTCGCTTCAGCTGCACTGGAAAAGTTAGCAGCTCTGGAAATCCGATGGGTTTTGGCCGCTACGTTTCGAGCAACTTGTAGCAATCTCATTTTGCTCAATTAAAAATTGATGCGCAAAATGTTCCCTCCTTTAAACGTTTATCAGCAATTTGAATAGAAAATAGAACACTATATTTACACTATTGTATGTCGTTTGAATTAGCTAGTACTAACTGCTGGGTCTCGAGTAGACTGTAGAGCGAACTGATCTGCAACCTACCTAAAACAGTTAAAGTTACGGCAAATTTCACCAAACGAATTATTGGTAGCGATAGACAACTTTCGCACAACCCGTATAATTCCTAACTTGACATTAAATGTGATTAATAAACATGATCATATGGTGGCGAACTCTATCGGTCACTTCTCAAGTAGCAGTTCCAACAGAAACGCCAGCTTTATCTCAA